TAAGACTAATTGGGTCATCAAATTCATGATCCTACCGTACATCTTGTTCAAAATATCATCAAATGTATATGAATAAATTTTTACGTAGTTTGAAGTCTTCTATTATATGAATCAAACTAGTTTAATATGTTTATTTTTCAAATAACTTAATTATCGTCCCTTTTGTACATAGCTAAAATAATAATTAAAAATTTCAAAATGATATAATTTTTTCTATATATAAATCATGATGAGTGCAAATCATGATGGGCAGTGCTGACCATCGTTCCAGGTAGCCTATTGGACCATCTCACAATAAGAATCTTATCTGATCTCATTTTAACATTTTGCTATATATATCTACTAGTATGTGCCCCGTGCATAGCACAACAATTTATTTTTTTTATCATTGTATTCTAAATTTGCGTCTCTCTATGTTTTAATACATTTGATTTGATTATTATACTCTTAAAATTAAAAATTATATAAAATATATGTTACCAAAAATATTGTCATCTAATTCTTATACATTCGTCTACATTGATGATTATTTAGATTAATTTGAAGCTTGCGTCGAGGAATAATTTAAAGCAGTATATGATGGTTAGGGGTGGAAACAAACCAAATATTTAATAAACAATTCGCTTAATATTCGTCCATATATTCGGCCATATTCGATCTGACGGGTCATTTAATACTAAATGAATATTTTCAGTATTCAACTTACAAACAAATAGAATTTAACTAAACTTATATTCGATTAGGCTGATTATTAACTATTTGGTAATCTTTTTTATATTAATCCTATTAATTAAACTTGTTACAAATATTACCCATCGAATTTTTTTTTACAACTTCTTCCCCATATATAAATAGACTTATGACAATTATTATTCGTCCAGATATTCGATCAAGTTCTATTCGCTAGTTCATTTAGTACTAAAAAAATAATTTTTAGTATTAGGCTTATAAATGAATAAAATTTAACAAAAGGTATGTTCGTTTCGGGAGTCCATTAACTATTCGATTAGTTTTTGCATTTTAGTCCTATTAATTAAATTTATTGAAAATATTACTTATCTAAAATTTTATTTACAAATGCTATCCATATAAATAGCTAAGAGAGAGGATTCTTAAGTTAGGGTTTCACTTTTCTTCTTCGTTTCTATCAGCCTCCTCCTCCTCTAGATCTGATCGGCTCCTCTCTCCTCTCTCTCTCTCTCCCCTCACCTCCTCCTCCAGATTTGATCGGTTCCTCTCTCCTCTCTCTCTCTCCCCTCCTTCAGATCTAACTCTAAGTAGATGAGCTTCTCTCTCCTCTTTCTCTCTCCTCCTTTAGATCTGTGACTCCAAGTGGATTCTAGGGCTCGGGTATTCATTGTTCTCCTTCGAAGCTGGTTGCTCACTCCTCCCTCAAAAGCTCGTCCTTCGAATCTCGTTGTGTCAAAGCTCGTCGTCCATCGAATTTCATCGTCGACTTCTCCCTCGAATCTTGTCGTCGACTCCTCCCTCGAATTTCATCAGAATTTTTGTCGGCTTTGGGAAAATCACTGCCTTTCTTAGGGGAAATCATCGGATTTTTGCTTGATTTGTTTGATTTCAAAAATTATAGGTATAATTTCTTTATGATGTTCCCTTTCGTTGATTAGTTGATGAATAATTTGATATCAAAACCATTAAATATTGTTAATCGATTGTTTCCCTATTTTTGGTATTTTTTATGCTTAATTTCATGCTAGATTCGTTAAATTTGGTTGATCTATCTCATCTCACGAATTACGAACCCTAGATTTGGTCACTCTTTATTCATTTTATTCCCACAAATATAGCTAAATGAAATAATCTACATGGGAATAAATTACGACACATATAGTTAAATGAATAAATCTCATAAATAATTTTTTTGTTTTAAGCACTCTATATTTTCTCATGAACTTTATGAGTTTAATGTTATAAATAAATTTAATTTTTTATAAGTCGATGTTCTTCCTCTATTAGAATCCTATTCAATGGATGCACTAATTGGTGAAATCTGTAAATAAAATTGGGGATATATATAAATTGCCTATAAGTTACCCATTTAAATTGCATGCTTAAGATGAGCAATGTTAGTCCAATTTGAAGTCTTAACTAACTCTCTTTTTTGCCTTTTCTTCATACTAAAGGCAGGGGACTACTTGAGTAAATTCTAGGCAGTAGAGATTTTCCTTCTTAACTATTGCTCAAATGGTTATAAGAGTTATGAAATTTACAAGAAAATTATCGCAAGGAAAGAATTGCATGCATGAGCTAAAATGAAAGCTTGATCATGTTGAAATTTATTTTAAGGAAAAAATTACCTTAAGTGATCAACGCTGGTAAGTTTTTAATTAATGTATTTTAATTTGTGTTGTTTCTGTGTCATAATCTTAGAACATAGTTAATTTTTGAAAGACGTGTCTTAGAGTGAAAATACTTATATTGACTTATCTTTATAGTCTTTACATTATATCAGATTATTTCAGAATTATTCTCAATTTTTAGATATCCTAATACGCTATATACATACTCTAATACAAATGGTAATTTATTCCCACAAATATAGTTAAATGGAATAGTCTACATGGGAATAAATTACGACACATATAGTTAAATGAATTAATCTCATAAATAAAATAAAGTTTTAAGCACTCTATATTTTCTCATGAAGTTTATGAGTTTAATGTTATAAGTAGATGTTTTCCCTCTCTTAGAATCCTATTGATTGGATGCACTAATTTGGTGATATATATAAATTGTCTATAAGTTGCTCATTTAAATTGCTTGCTTAAGATGTAGTCCAATTTGAAGCCTTAACTAACTCTCTTTTGTGGCTTTTTCTTCATACTAAAGGCAAGGAACTGCTTGAGTAAATTTGAGGCAGTAGAGATCTTCCTTCTTAACTGTTGCTTCATTGTTTGTCTGCTTCATTGTTTTACTTCAAACATTGTAATTGACATTAACTACTATTTTTCATATTATAAAATTTTTTACTTACAAATGGTGTAAGTTTTTGCTCTGGTACTTAAAACTAAATTTAAGCATGTAACCAGGAGGGAAGCATACATTGTTTGAGAAGCTAATTAAACTATTGGATGATATTTTATTAATTAAAAAGTGATTATATCTATAACTGAATGATCAGAAATGTAAATATAATAAATTAAATCATACCTGCTATAAATTAAATCAAACCTGCTCTTAAGTATCCTGTTCTTTTTAACTATGAATAGGAAATGTAGCTTTGAATGTGTACCTGATTTGCGCCATTACTTCCTTATTACATAACCTACACCAGACTTTCCCCAAAGTTGATGGTGTTTTTTTGCACAATCTGCACATCCAACATAACTTGAATAAATCGATATATTTCTATTACCTATGAATTTCCTGGAGCATCGAAATATACATCTTCATAAATTATTACCTCAGAAGCCTCTATTGATTCTTGTTGCTAATTGTTATTATTGGTTTTTTGTGCTGACATTGAGGTATTAGTTGTTGGCTTCTTGTGGTATATAATGGTCGGTTTGAGCTTAATGGCAGATGGCTTTCTTTGGTACTCAATTCTGGTATGGGTTCTTTTGGTTTATGTTTTTTTAGATGGGCAGTGATGATAATAACAAACTGAGAATGCATCCTATTTTAATTAATTATGTAATGTTTAGATGAGGTAATTCTGTGTGGAATGTAACCTACATTAATATTATAATGTTTGAGTGATGTAATCCCTCATAATAGCAGCCTACATTACATCATAGTTTTATAGGAGAGGCAATCTTTTATGACCAATCTATATTTATCCTGAGCACCAGTAAGTCTTCATAGATTTTTGTGATGAATTCGAGCTTGTTTAGCTCTAATTTGAGTGGGAATTGGTGCTATTTTGTAGCTTTTATAATTGACATATATAGTTAAAAGAGCTGGTTTTATCATGTAGCTTTTATAATTAAAAGAGCTGGTTTTATCATGTAGTCGGTAACGATATCTTTATAATTTGAATAAATTGATAGATTTGTATTACCTGTGAAGTTCCTGGAGCATCGAAATATACAACTTCATAAATTGTTGCTTCCGAAGCCTTTATTGTCTCTGGTTGAGTATCGGAGAAATTCACAAACGAAGTCACTAACTGTAAGTTGTTCTCACTGTGAGTATTTCTACATGTATGATGAAAAAGTCATTATCAGTAGTATAGATAGTTCATAATTTATTTAATCAAATGTTATGTTTCACAAAAAAATTCATTAATGTATTGTGTAACCTTCTAACCTTTGTAGTAATTTTTGAACTCTTGCTTCATCAATACTGAACATATAGCCAAATAAGTAATCAAATCATTGGAGTTGTTAATATTTATTAATAATTCTAAAATACTTTGAAAATGTAATAATTTCCTAGCTTGTGTCATTGTATTTATTAATATTTATTAATAATTCTAAAATACTTTGAAAATGTAATAATTTCCTAGCTTGTGTCATTGTATTTATTTTACTTATTGTCGTGAAATATGTTACTTTGAAAATGTAATAATTTCCTAGCTTGTGTCATTGTATTTATTTTACTTATTGTCGTGAAATATGTTAATGATTATGGAGATTGTAAATCCCTCATTACCCTTCGCATAACTATATTTTATTGATGCTACTTAAAGTTTAACTTTCTTTCCAATTATACCAAGGATAAAATAAGAGAAAAGCTATGTTTCATTTGCATAAACCATGTAAATACTCTTATTAGATACCTTTTTAGTTCATAAATTTTAACTGCCTTTTTAGTGATTTTTGTCTATCAAAGCAGTGTTCAGATTATCAACTTCTCCGTTGAAGAGTAGTAACATAGTAACTGTTGAACTATATTTCCCTTTATAGCTTTGTACCTGATTTATATAATTATATACTTGGTAAAGATTGAAAATAATATTGCATGTGCTTTGTAATTATGACTATGAAAGATTCATATGAATGTGTACTTGATTTGAGCCACTACTTCCATATTACATGATTTGCACCATACTTTTTCTGAAGTTGATGGGTAATTTTTTATATATATATATATATCATCCAATAGTGTAAGATGGAAAGCAAATATATCTTCATTGATCATATTGCCATTTTTCCAAATTATACTTACTCCTTCTTTAATGATTGCATCATTGTTTTTGTTAGTTTATAATTTGATGGTTGAATATGTACCTGATAACATCTACATGTCCTTCAGTCTGCACTGAAATATTAATTTCATCAGTTAGGTAATATAATCATATCATTGTAAAGAAAGATGTGAGATAGTGCAGGATTATAACAATTTAGTTTCTTGCAATTTTTATTAGTGTACATATCATTTATATCATTTAATGTTATGCTGAAGAAATAAAGAGAGGTTCAAAAGCCAGTATGCAATATTAAAAAATTAAATTTATAGAATGTTTAAAACTTATACCTGTTTGAAAATTTTCTTTGTACATAATGTTATCAGTTAGGTCAGATCTGAGTTTAGGGTTCAAAGCTGCTTTTTCAACTTCCTTTTCCTCTCAAGGGCTGCAGCGGCTGCTATTGGCTTCTTTTCCTTTCCTCTCAAGGGCTAGGTAAGATCTCTGCTATTTCTTCTAAGTTTTTCTTTCTCTTCTTCTTCTTCATCTTTTTTCTTGCTGCTGCTTTCTTTTTTTTATGCCATTGTGTTGTTTTGTATTGCTTCTGGCTGCTGCTCTCTCCTTGGTTTCCTTTTCTTCGCTCCTTTTTTTGGGTTGAATGGACTCCTGGTTGTCTGCTGCTCTGTTTTTGCATACTGATGGCTACAGTATTTTTTCCTGATGTAGTGAGTGCTGTTTTCTTGAGTGAAGTTTGAATGTAAATGTATTATGAGTTTGGAGAGAGAATAGATAATTTCATTATCTTAGTTGTATTTGAATTTTGAAGTCAGCCGCGCATTTTGTATGTGTGATGTGTGATCCACTACAGTGTTAAATTTACTGTACAATTTACTGTAGCATGAACAGTTACTCTTTGTATAAAGGAATAGATATACATGCGCACACACACACTATTCACTAGGAGAAGGAATCTACTCCTCCCACATTTTTAGCATTTAAATCTTCTAATTAGTTACCTAAAGATTAGAAATAAAAGGTAGAAGTTATTTGGTTGGGACGACAAAATAAAAAAGATACTCCTAATTGAAACTAGACATGTATTGGTTATCTAATTAGAAGAATCCTCCTAGTTGCATTGTGTACTGAAATAATCCAGGATCCTCCTAGTTGCATTGTGTACTGATATAATCCCCCCTATACATGATCATCAAGCCTTACAAAGAGTATAGTTCATTAAGTCATGAAGCAGCGCGCTGCTGTTTTGCGCATTCACATAACGATTTAGCAAGCAAATTTTTTTTTGATGCAGGTTGTCCTTCAAATATTCATGACTGTCGCTACTATTGATTCAATCATAATAGGAGCTCTATGTATATCTTCTTGTCAGCAAACGGTTTGATTAATAAATGAGAGACGAGAGAAATTTTAATAGGTTTGATTTATTTTTCCGTAAAAGAAGACATAGGTGAGGGGTCTGACTGATAGGTAATAAAAGAAAGAGGATTCTGTTAATCAAAAAAGAAATGAATGGGAAAAATGCCAGGTAGGAAAAATAGGCAAGGTGTGATATTAGGTGATTTTGTGAATATTTTTTTATTTAGTGATCCCAACCAAATAACTTCTATTTTTATCACTAATCTTAAAGCACTAATTAGAAGATAATGGCTAAAAATGTGGGAGGAGGAAATTATTTCTCCTCCTAAGAGTAGAATAGTTCATCTCTATATATAAAGTCACTTCTTGTGACCTATTCAGAATGCAATGAGACTAACACACACCAAGTCGACAATGACAATGTTGCAATAATATATGAAGCTTATCATCTTTCTACTTATTTTAATTTATTTATCAAAATAGGTCATTTTCAGAAAAGATGATTTCTAAGAAAAAGAGACAAATATCTAAATTTATTTAGTAAACAAACAATAAAAATCATCCCTGATGTTACATCATGCAAATTGTTAAGTGTTAATCCCTAAATGAGGAGCTGACACGTGTCCCACTCTATGTCTAATCAGCCATATTCGAAGAGGGACGACTTGAGTGACTTCAGCGGTCGACCCCACCAGGCCGAGAACTTGCGAGACCGACTAAAAAGGCGGTACTTGTTGACCTACCCCTAAGATCGAGATGAGAAGCATCCTCTCTCGGCCTACTATACTGGTCGACCCCACTCCCTCTCGGCACTCGGCTCTTTCAGGCCTACAAATTGCGAGGCCAGCTAAAAAGACAGTGTTTATATGCCTCCAGTGAGACGAGTCAGAAAGCAGTGTATCCTTTAGCTCCCTGCAGACAGTTAATAGCCATCACATTAAATGCATGATCAGAGCAATCATTTCTTTAGCCCCAAAAGTCTTTATGACTCATCGGACCTCGTCAGCATTATGCATATTCTGTCACCCTCACATTAAACACCTAGATGACTCATCCCCCTTACTGCCGACACCTGTAAAGTAAATTCTAACGGAGACGCCTACGTGACTAGGCCAAAATGACTCATCTGCCCTATTGGATCTACTATAAAAGGAAAGTGTTGCCTGCTACTTAGGGTAAGAAATTTTTGCCAAAATAAACCCTTATACATTTTGAACTCTTCTTCCTCACTCAAGTTCTAAACTGACTTGACTGTCATAGGAGCCATCGAAAATCCCTACTCCGACCTCTTAAGTGTTCTTCATGTGCAGGATGGGACTATCAACTTAAGAACTAGCCGTCCGAGGAAGCCTGAGGACCCTAACACCCCTTATAATCCATGAATAAGCCACTATTAGAGAATTGACATCAATAGTTTCACACTCGCTGTGGGGCCTTTCATCCTTCTCCATACAAGATGGCTGGTTCTAACCACCAAGCCGATTCTCTAACCCTTCCGCTGATGACCAACGCTTGGGCTATGTTACTCAAGCACAACTAGAGGAGTCGACTCGGCAGATTTCTCAATCTCTACAATAACAGTTCACTTCCTTCATGAAAAAACTCCTCCATCATTCGTTCCTCCTCCTCCCTCTCCTGTAGATCAGGCCGAGCAGTGACCGCATGAAGACTATGCTAAGCACACCTCTCCTCTGCCTCGCCAGCAAGCCTGTTTCACTACTCTGCCTCGACGGTCTCAGCTATACCCCCAAGCAATAGGGGAGAGCCCTAGCTTCGGCTATGATGGCCATGATCGGACTGCGTGGATGACTTCGCGTTGTCCTAGATACCTCTATGCTGCTCCGGGTCCTTCTGCCACCAACCTAGCAATTAGTTATGACCCTGATAGGGAGTGCTAAGATGTGGTGGAACTCATTGGATAAGAAGTTTATTAACAACTTCGAGGAGCTCAGCCAAAAGTTTATACATTATTTTTGGCCGACTCTAAGTAAAAAAAGCCTTCACATGTCTTGCTTGAGATAAGGGAAGAGCCTAGAAAAAACCTAAGGGACTATTTCAAGAGGTTCCAAACCAAGAGGCTGGAAGTCGACAACCCTCAAAATATAGTCTCCATAGCCACAATCTTGGCAGGCTTATAGAACAATAAGTTGGCAAACTCACTTATTGTGGACTGAGTCACCAACTATGAGTAGTTGATGGCCAGAGCCTGAGGATTCATGGATGCGGAAGAAGGCCAAGCTCATAAGAAGGTGGTCAAAGAAGCAGAACCAACATCAGTGATGGTAGCACTCACTGCAGGGGCCGAGTCCCCTCCTAAGGAGAAGATAGAGAAGGATCCCTCCAGGACCAACTCTAGACCAGGTAGGGATGCAAGAGAGAACAGAGGAGAGAAGCCACCAAGAAGCCGGCCCTCACTACCCTCAACACCTCTCTTACACAAGCCCTTTACATAATCTAAAAAAGGGTATCTCAATTCTATTCCTCCCCACATGAAGCCGAACCCTCGATCTCTTGACTTCAGGCAATTTTGACGATACCATCGAGATTAAAACCATCATACTAATGATTGTTGAGTTGACTTACTACAGAAGGGATTCTTGAAGAGGTTTGTCTCACAGAGGGACATGACAAAACTTCCTCTAGGAAGATCGGACAGGAGGTCCCTCTCTGCATTGCCTCGTCCTCAACAGCAATCTGACAAGCGGCCTACTGAGACCAACAATCAGAGCATCATTAATACTATTAGCGGAGGCCCAGCGGTGGGAGGAATGTCCAACAACATTTGAAAGAAATATGCCAGACGAGTGTTACATGTCATCTTGTGTGAGAAGAAGGCGAGGACAGATCAGCCCATCTCCTTTAGCGACACCGATTTAAAAAGGCATTGAGACGCATCACGACAAACCTCTCATCATCTCGGCCGAGATTAACAGCTTTTAGGTCAAGAGGATTTTGGTCTAACATAGGAGTTCCACTAATATCTTGTTCATCGACGCCCTTAATCAGATATTTATTGATAAGTCCAAGTTACAACCATGTTGGGGTCCTCTCATCGGATTCACGTGGCATTTGCTCCTACAGGAAGGAATGATTACTCTCCCCCTAATGATTGGTGAATTCCTTCACCAATTCACTGTTCCAAACCTAGTTTCTAATGATGAACATCAAGTCAGCCTATAATGTTATCCTTGGAAGAACTTCCCTGAATAGCCTACAGGCGGTCCTATCCACCTACCACCAGATTGTAAAGTTCTCGACCCTTGAAAGAGTAACCCCTAAAAGAGTCGAGATTATTAGGAGCAACTAACGAGAGGCCTAATCCTACTATCTACTCTTGATGAAAGGAAAAAGAGTACTAGCGACCCTGCCAGTTGAGAAGACACGCCTCCAAATGGAGAAAGTGTTAGAACGGAAGCGGACGACTCTCGTAGAAGAGCTCTAAAAAAGTTCCGATTGACTTAGATGGGTTGAAGAAGGTTAAGATCAGATCAAGCCTTGTTGAACCTCAACGAGGAGCTGTGATTGTGTTCCTACGTGAAAATGCAGATGTATTTGCTTGGGGCCCGAAGGCATGTCAGGAATCCCATGAAGTAGCGATCCATGAGCTCTCAGTCGACCAACGCAACAATCCATTTCAACAAAAGAAGAGGCATCTCGGCTCCGAGAGATGGAAGGCGGCCACAGATGAAGTCGACCAACTACTCAAAGTCAACTTCATCAGAGAAGTGTAGTATCCAGAGTGGCTATCCAATGTGGTTCTTGTGAAGAAGTCCCTTCGCAAGTGGAGGTTGTGTGAGGACTTCATAGATTTGAACAAAGCTTGCCCGAAGGAAAGCTACGCCCTCATGAGGATTGATCAACTAGTAGACGAGAGTGTGGGTCATGAACTAAGTTTTATGGACGAATTCTCTGTCTACAACTAGATCCTTATGGCGGAGCATGATCAAGAGAAGACCTTATTCATTATAGACCAGGGAACCTATTGCTACAACGTAATGCCTTTCGGCCTTGAAAATGCAGGGGCCACCTACCAGAGGTTAGTCGATAAGATTTTCAAGCACTAGATTGGTCGTAATGTGGAATTCTATGTAAATGACATTATTGTAAAGTCAAAACAGGTGTCGTCTCACGTATCGGATCTTAAAGAGACCTTCTGTGTCCTCCGGCACTACGGCATGAAGTTCAACCTTGCCAAATGTGCTTTTGGAGTACAATCGGGCAAGTTCATCGGGTTCATGATTACTCAGTGAGGCATTGAAATTAACCCCGAGAAGATAGCTACTATAGAGCAGCTACCTAAACCTCACACACTAAAGGACATGCAGAGGCTGAATGGCTAGATAGTGGTGTTGGTCTACTTCCTTTCAAAATCTACCAAAAAAAAAGCCTCCCATTCTTCACAAGTTTGAGAGGGAGCAAGGAGAGAGAGCAAGGAGCTAAAGGAAGGTATGAGCTAGATGGCCGAGTGTAGTTAGGCCTTTAAGGACCTCAAAAGATATTTGATCACCAAGCTACTATTGAGCCGACCCAGAAAAGGGGAGACACTATCTCTCTACTTGGCCATCTCCTCGGAAACCATTAGCTCTGTCCTAATCCAAGAGGGGGATAATGCGCAGAGGTTGGTATACTACATCAACCGGATCTTGAAGGTGGCTGGACTCAACTACACCCACATTGAGAAAGCCTCCTTCATTCTTATTATTACACTACGAGGCCTTGCCCCTACTTTCAAGCACATACCATGATGGTGCGGATGAACCTGCTTTGAAGAAAGAACTTGGTAGTCCTACCACTTTAGGGAGGATGATCAATTGGTCAGTCGAGCTTAATGAATATGATGTACAATTTGAGCCAAGGATGACCATAAAGGCCCAAGCCTTGGCCGACTTCTTGATAGAGTCGACCACAACGGACGTCGAACCATCTCTGCTCATACTAGTCTTCCTACCTAATCCTTCGTTATCCCAAATAGCCAAGATTGTAGGGTCAAAAAATTAAAGTTGATTGATTTTCTTGTTTTAAGAATGTGTTCTATAACTTGGTAAGAACCACTTTACAATCACTTACTCTCTCGATTACAGAGGAAGAGAAGAAAGATTTGACTTATCTTTTGTTTAAGGTGGGTTCTAGGTGGTGAGAGGATGCTTCACTTGATGTTTGAGTCAAGATGGCTTCCCGTTGATGATCAAAAACAGATCGCAAAAGCTTTTGACAATGGCTTCGACTACAAGAACTGAGGTTCGTGTTTTTAGCTTGTGTGCGAGAGCTTCACTTAGAATATCTAATGATCCCCCCCTCCTTCATAGATGCTTGCGGCTATTTATAGACCTTTAGCACATAACTGACGTGCTACAATCGTGGGATCGTAGGCGTAACCGACTCCTGAGATTTAGCCCACGTGGATGACTGGGTCTTCTAGACGTTACAACCTGATTTAATATAGGTGACGAGCTTCGCTGTGTTGGCAAACCTCATCCTTGATGTCAAGTCTTGCTGCATGGCGAGCCTCGTTTCTAATGTTGACTCTCGCTGGGTGGCGAACATTGTCTTTGATATTGAACCTCGCTGTATGGTGAACCTTGTCTTTGATGTCGAGCATCGCTGTATGGCGAACCTCATCTTTGATGTCGAGCCTCGCTGTTGGCGAGCCTCGTCTCTAAAAATGAGTTTCAATGCTTTCGAGCAAACTTCTAGATGATTTTTGTCTTCACTTGCGAGGTTTGTTGTAACAAGGTTTGACTCTCGTCTTCCTTCTGGCATTTTTGGGTGTCTACAAGACCCGCTTCAAAGTTTTCAGACTTGAATTGGGTTGTATAAAGTCTGAAATACTTTGAACTCTCTCGATTATTACGAGTTTGGTTCGTAGGATAGACTTAGCCTTAGTACTGTGAAATGAACTTCATGGTTCATTGTTTCTAGGCATTTCGAGACGAGGCTCAGCAAATTGTTGAGTTTCTTCACTCCATATGGGCTTCGTCAGGCCCACATCGGCTTGACAATCAGGCTTGTCTACATTAAATGTGATGGCTTCCATCCTCGCGCCTTTTCCAAGCCTGATAGGGTGTCTGCCAGCTGGAGCTTCAAGATCTCCTGTATAGATCTCATTGGTTCGTGGGAAAAATCGTGTCTTTCTTTGTAATTGATTCCATTGCCATCTTAAATAACAACTTTTTGAGTTACAAAGATCCGGTCTTTTTATAAGATCCGGTTACAATGAAAATCAAAGAAAATAAAAGAAAGATTACAACTTTTTATCCTTGTTTGTTGAACAAATCACGAGCTCCTGTTTTGCGGTCGCTCGCTTTGTGGGTTCTTCGCCTGCGCCGGGGTTTATCCGTGGACCACCGCGCGATCTAGATCTGGTCGGATCTACGCAGTACAACGGGTATTATTTCACCAAGGAAATAATAGCCGGGGAGGATTAGTTCACCAAGGAAATAATCGTCCAAATCTCGGGATCAAAGGCCAAGCTTTGATCCGGAGGATGACTACGTAGATCTGAGATCCGGTTCCTCTCGAACTGCCTTATTTGGCCTACTGGCACGATCGCCGATGCACCAATCGTGGATGGAGAAAGTCCTCGCAAGCTCCAAATTTTGAATCTTTTTTTAAGATTCTGCAGTCTTCAATCCAGCAGCGGCTTCGCGCTCCAAAAAATCCCAACCTTTCAAAATGAACCAAGACGGCCTATGTTATAGGCCGTCTGTGCTAAACTGTGCCCTGACGCACAGATCTGGCGTCGCGCCACCTGATGCGGTGGCCGCACGTGGCTGCCGAGCCACCCCGAGGTGGCTCTGCCACCGAGCCACCTCAGGGTGGCTCGGCTAAGGCCGAGCCACCTTGAGGTGGCTCGGCTTTTGGCCGAGCCCCCGCGGGTGTTTGACTTTTGTCGTTTTGCGTTGTCTCGTTTGTCCGTGTTTCGGTTGACCTGAGACTCTGATTTGATGGTTTGATTTGGCAGTAATTTGGATTCCTGATTTGGCAGTAAATCCGCTTCTGAGTTCGAGTCCGAAACTGATCTTGATTCGATCGTGGTTCGTCCGAGTCCGCTCTCGGTTGGATGACTCGTTGATTCCTCAACTCATTAGCTTGATTCTGCACGCGGGTGGATTCATTCCGTTGTTCGCGTGCGGTTTGTCGATCTCGTCGCCTCGTTGGTTCGTCGGTTTGTGCCGAGCTATGCTAGGGGACCTATAAGCAATTTTATATGCCTACAGATACCCCCTCCAAAGTATTTCAGTCTCGTTCTTTTATAGAAGAGTCTGGAATACTTTGGATATGATTGTCCCAACCTTCAGTCGATGTAACGGGACCTTGGAATGGCTTCTGCTCTTGATTCCTTCAATCCTCCAGGCTATTCGGTGCTTTGTCGAATATCTGTAAGAGTTCCGGTGCTACATTTATTGTCTGACCGTTGTCGGAATTTTAAACTTGGAGTTGATTCCTGATCTTTTAGCTAACCATCGTTGCGACGCGTTGTCCGGCGTTGTGTTGTTGAGTTATCCTTAAGAATATTTATAAAAATATTCTCCAGGAAGTTCTCAACCAAAAATAGGGAATAATTTATACTCATATACCTTATTGGAGTATTAAGAAGCAGTTTATACTCGTATACTTTTCGGAGTATTGATTCTTTCATTGCAACGCATCGATCGGCGTTGACCTAGGGTTACGCGTTGACCGGTGTTGATCCTAGGGTTTCGAATATCGTACGTTGACTGTTTGGTCGCAACGCGTTGACTGGCGTTGACCTAGGGTTACGCGTTGTCCGGCGTTAACCTTAGGGTTTTGAACGTCGTACGTTGACTGTTTGATCGCAACGCGTTGACTGGCGTTGTCCTAGGGTTACACGTTGTCCGGCGTTAACCTTAGGGTTTTAAACGTCGTACGTTGACTGTTTGATTGCAACGCGTTGACTGGCGTCGACCTAGGGTTACGCGTTGTCCGGCGTTGACCCTAGGGTTTCGAATGTCGTTGGATGCTCAAGTCATGAGACCAACTAATGAGGCTGATGCGTCAGTGACTCTCGTATTTATAGGATTTTTGGCAAATCCTCAGCCATCAACGGGTTTGATGCGCCTTTACCGACTACCGTTTGAGTCGGGCTAGCCTGCGGATTGTTTAAACCCGTTCCGCAAGTGACGTTAAGCTAAAAGAGTTAACCCCTTTTAGTGCTACGATATTGAATACGTAGACTTCGTCTTTCTCACGGGAATAGACTACCCGGCGACGCGTGTTAGGCGTTGACTTTAGGGTTTTTGGCTAACCCCCAGCCTTCAACGGGTTTGATAAGCCTTTACCGATTACCGTTTGAATCGGGCTAGCATGCGAATTGTTTAAATCCGTTCCGCATGTAACGTTGTGCTAAAGGAATGAACTCCCTTAGACTTGATGCTACGACTTCGAATACGTAGACTTCGCTATTGTTATGGGAATAGGCTGCCCAACAACGTGTTTTAAACGCTAACTTATCCCTACTTAGGCTTCGGGATAAAATACCCCAGAATCGAACTCTGGTGTCTTTTTCCACGGAGAAAGACTAAACCGGCGACGCGTATTAGGCGTCGGCATATCCTTTCTTAGGATTCAGGATGAAATTCCCCATGCGTGTGAGGCATGGATTTTGGTGTTATTAATAACAACCTGCCACAATGTTGAATATGTGAACGGGTGTTCTTTTTGACGGTTAAGAACTAACCGGCAGCACGGGTTAGGCGCAGACCTATCCCTGCTTAGGTTTCAGGATAGAATACCCCAGAACCGAACTCTGGTGTCTTTTTCTACGGAAAAAGACTAAACCGGCAGCGCGTGTTAGGCGCAGACTTATCCCTGCTTAGGATTTGGGATAAACTTCCTAGTACTTGTGAGGCATGGATTTTGGGAGTTGAAAAAGGTGGTGTCTTCTCTTGGGGCAAAGACGAACTCGAAATGGGAGAGGAAGAATTTTATATTCTATCTCCCGACACTGAAGAAGAAGAATTTTATATTCTATCTTCAGCTAGAAAGGAGACTCGAGGTGGGATCTCTACCCCCAGAATCCGGAAAGGTGAAACTGAGAGTGGGATCTCCACTCTGAGAATCGAAAAGATTCGGATAACCCTAACTGTCGGAAGGTTTGATTACCGAACTAAAGATGAATTTCTCGTTTATCGAGAATGAATCGTGGTTTTGGTCCTAACTGTAGGAAGGTTTGACCAAGCAGGAGTTTGAGATGACCCTAACTGTAGGAAGGTTTGATCACTCGATTTGAAAGTGGACCTCTCGTTCATTGGAGGAATCGAGAGGGGATTTTGACTGTGGTCCTAACTGTAAGAAGGTTTGACCAAGTGGGTGTTTTGAGACAATCCTAACTGTAGGAAGGTTTGATCGCTCAATTTGTGGACCTCTCGTTCATTGGGGGAATCGAGAGGGGATTTTGACTGTGGTCCTAACTGTAAGAAGGTTTGACCAAGTGGGTGTTTTGAGACAATCCTAACTGTAGGAAGGTTTGATCGCTCAATTTGTGGACCTCTCGTTCATTGGGGGAATCGAGAGGGGATTTTGACTGTGGTCCTAACTGTAAGAAGGTTTGACCAAGTGGGTACTTTACGTCCAGACTCTAACAGAGAGAGTGTTGAGTGCATAGACATGGTGAGAATGGGAGTTCTTATTCATTACATTGCTGTGGTTTTGGGAACTTCCCGTTACATAAATCGTCCACCCCCAGTTTCCTCTGCGGAACTGGTTCGGACATTATTATCAGTTAACTAACCGGGTTATCCTTAAGAATATTAGCTTAATATTCTCCAGGAACTTCCCGTCAAAAGTGGGGAAACAGTTTAGACTCATATACCTATTGGAGTATCAGGGAGTAGTTTAACCTCTTATACCGGTCGGAGGATTGAGAAACAGTTTATACTCGTATACTCTTTGGAGTTTTGCCGTTCTCAATTGGCTTACCTTAGCGTTATGACGCCGGCTTCAACCAAGGTCTGAATGCTATTCTTGAGAGCAAAGCAATCCTTGGTGGGATGAACGACCCTCCTGTGGTATGCACAGTACTTTGGGTCCGTAGTGTTGTCAGCTTCCTCCTGATTTGTGATAGGTGGTAGCTTGATCTTGTTACCTTCAAGGAGGGATTCGAAGATGGCTGGAACGTCTTCGTCCTTAAAAGAGTACTCTTTTTGGAGTCTCGAACCCGAAGTCTTTTGCTGCCTTCGGGATTGCTGTTGTGACGTTTGATTAGCACCATCAGCAGCTGCAGGTGCCTTGCCCTTACCACGAGAGGCGAAATTTGAGCTCGGAAGATTCGCCATCGGTTGGCTCCTTTCGGCTTTCTTCCTTCGGAGGAAGCGTTCGGCTTGTTCCCCGCGCACTTTCAAGTCTTTCCAAGTGTCAGACGGTACTGTTCCCATCGCTTCCAACACGTCCAACGCAAGGTTGTTGTGGCAAGTCTGGAGGATGAATTCCTCAGTGATCGGGTCCCGATAATTCATCGCCTTGTTCTGGAACCTTTTGACGAAGGTGTCGACTAATTCCCCGTCTTTCTGCTTCTCATCGAGCAATGATCCGATAGATATCTCGGTGTCGTCGTCGAAGAAATTGGTGAGGAACATAGTC